GCTTTATCGTCTTCGTAATTATTTCGAATGTCAAATTATATATACGATTCATTGCCGTCAATGACTCTAGTTTCCAAATCAATTTCGTTTGTGTGTACCATGCACCTATAATAACGCGTATCAGTAATAATAATTGTCAATGCATTGTTTTGTTGCAACGCATATTTTGTTTACGCTTATTATTGTGACCACTTTGCGTGTACATACCTAATGTTATTGACTTGAACTCGAAATTCCAATTCAAACCGTATATGTGACAGTATTTGGTGACCTATGATATTGCTGCATGTTTCTTATGTGCCCGTGTTGTTACTGTCTGTAGTTGGTCAAAATGTTTTACCACTTAGTTACTTACTCCCGTTAATCAATAATAATAAATAATAACTAGGCCATGGATGTTGATTTTCTTTTTTTACTGTTCCAATTAATTGCCAATTATGTTTTAAATGAGTTGTAAATGTGAGTAAGAATTAAAAACTAAAATGTTCAAATACAATTTTTCGTAGTTTTTCGAATTTGTTTAATTGTATTGCGATTTTATCGAGTTTTCTAATATCTTTTACCGTTTTGACTATTTATTGATTTTATTCACGTAATTTTTCACCTTCGATTTGATAAATTATTATTCATCAAAGATTTAATCAAATTATACTGTGCAGATTCTTAAGGTAAAAAAAATAATAATAATAAATTAAAAAACATTTTTAACGAAATCTTGTTATTGTTAAGCGGAATTATTTATATTTTTAAGTGCAATACATACTAACTGTGATCAATTTTATTACCAAATTGTTTACTAAAATGTCCGTATCTGAGCGATAACATTATATCATACGATATAAGTCACTTTTACATATCATAAAGGTTCTGCAGTATTCGTACAAATAACGATTTATCGTGGCGCGTTAATTGTATAGTGATTTTAGTGTTTCCGCTCTATGGACGTTATACGTATTGTAATGATGAAGTAATATGATGCATTATTAGTCGTTATACTCATTCRGTCATTGATCAGTTACCTACTATATTATGTAAAGTAGTAACCTTTTCGTTATATTTGCGATGTATAATATTATATTAAACAATACAAGTCTCTATAATATTTTGTCTTCGGGTGCAAAAATCATCGCTTGAAACAATATATTTTAAGTTGTGTATGTTACAATATAGTGGAATATTTTATTTTTRTTTTGCCGCTACCCGTGAAATACCAATACAGTATTCTTTTCTTCGTCGTCGTCGTCGAGGAACCAAAGTGTCAAAAAAAAACACCACAGGAATCGGTTACAGAAAGAAAAAAAGTACTATAAAGATTAATATAGCAGTAACCGCGTGTAATAATAAAAATAAAAATAATAATAATAATATATAACAATATTATATATCGTAACGGTGGTTTTTGTCGGTTATACACGCGTATACACAGCGGCTAGGGGGGTTTATCGGGGCCCGAAATTTACGTTTGCTTGCGTTATATTATAATGTATATACACTGCACCGCATAAGACGAAAAAGGTGGTGGTTGTGGTGGTGGAGGAGCGGAGATTGCAGGATTTAATATAACGGAACCCGAAGGTGTCATTCACTATATATTTAATATAATATATATGCACGAAGAAACGAACACTGCAAAAGGGGTCCCAGTCACCGTCAATCTTGCTCTCTCACTCTCTATCTCTCTCTCCAGTCTTCACCCTGCACTTCGTTCTCGTTCTTTCGAGGAGTTGCTCTGTCCTACCTCTATACGACAACCATGGTTTATAAATACCTATATTCTTATTATACATATGCAACCACCTTAACTATATATATATATATATATATATACCTATCAGTCGAGTTTTGCATATTAATTCGAGTCCCGGCGGGCTTTAAACTGCTATGCGTAACACCGCCTGATGAATTTATGTTTCGTTTATTCATGACACACATAGCGCAAACCGGTCAACCCTTTCGCACCCGTTTTCAACCCTTAAATTCTCGGGGCTGACGTCGGACGGACGTGCGGCCACACAAAAGATGCGGAAATTAAGCCCCCGGGACCTTCCTCTGCTCCATCGCCTCGTCGAAATATTATATATGTATTATACGATATCGTTTCCGGTGGTTTACAATGCCCCCCTCTTCATTCTGCACCCTTTTTGTTCTTTAATTTCGCGTCTCTCGGCGTCGCGAAGACTTGTTGTCATCGAAACTAAAACTATGTTATTATAATATGCGCGTGTAAGGTAAATCGTATAAGTACCTATATAGTAAATATTAAATACATTCGACGTGCACCTGCATCACTGCAATTAGTCGGCGGTCATTTCAAACCGCACTTAGCGTTCGGACCGGCAACTAAAGGTCACCSCGTGCCCCCCTCCTCCACTGCATCACTTTTACCACCGCGCACTCGGGACACGGTATATAGGTACCGTGGTCTGTTTGTATGACTTCTGCGCTGTTGTCTAATATCATATAACATTACTGTTGTTATACATATAATTGTGTTTACCACCGACGATGGGTGACTGAATGAACATCATTCGTATGATTATKATCATCACCGTCGAAGAGAGTGTCCGTGAGATAAGAGATTATATGGACGTTATTCGAGACCGATCGGAGGACGGCCAAACGCGGACTGGCATCACGGGCGTGCCGGAATAAGTCAGCTTAGTGAAATACGATCCGTCTTCCTGTGTGTGCTCTTATTTTCACCATATGTGCTCCCGTTGTGGCGTTTACTGCAATATATATATTTAATACTATATAATTGTTAGGAATATAGGCGCACAGGACGTCCCGTGTATATCATATAATATACACGTGTTTATATGAGGAAATAACGAACCGCTAATCATATCCAAACGACTTGTATAATGTACCGAAACCGACCCTGTCCGCCATTATAGCCGTTTTCGCGTTTCCTAGGTAAAAACTAAACTAAACTAAATTTTAGTTTTCGACATCTCGACGACTCGGGATGGTGTCRCGCCACGTTGTCGTCACCAGTGTCGTCCAGTGATTTCGTGACAACAAATGCCATMGATTTCAAAAAACGTGATTTCATGAACTGCACCGTATTTCGTTGTCGGATCGTTAAAATATATTTACGACGCTTACACAATACATTTCACTCTTGGACATCTCCCACACCGTCGTCACGTATAGCAAACACACACGATGGCGTTTTCATATCATAGTAATTATTGTTTTAATATTTGCATGTCAAACAGCTATTGGGTTCGAGTTAAAAATCTCTACAGGGACTTCTRACCTATATATATTATATGTTATGCCTAATAATCATGCTCGTAATCTGTTGTATTGTCTGTAGTCTGTACTAAATATCCGATCAAATAACATTTTGTACATCGCTAGACTAGGTCTCAATCCGTTCACTGTTATGTACCGCGTTCAAAGATCACTGGTCCCGAATTACGTGTTTCYGTTGCTTATTATTTATAATAATGATTGGTACGCACTGCACCGATAATTGCTAAATATATCCTTTCATTGCGTGATGTAATCTACAAGATGTAATCTGTCTAGTATATTCGAAGCTCCACGCCCTTTATTACGATACTTCCTTATTGTCACATTTTAATGAAATTCGTTTTGTCTATTACTATTTTTTTAAAATCTTTTTTAAGTTTTATACTTACTAGTGCACACGTATATATTGAAGTGGATTCTCGGTTTAGTGCGAAAAATAARTACAATTATTGCAAATAAATTATAAATTCTTATTAATAATAATTAKAAATTAGAAAACAAAATCGGAGTAGGCATAAATGCACGTAACACACCAATTTTGACCAATCGATTCCGKGCAAATAAAAAACAATTCCAAAATTTGTAAATCATCWGAAAAATTAACGGTGCGATAATTAGCGTAGTTTGCAGTGCAGCGGTATATAATGTAAACAACTTATTATTATATAGTCGACATAGTAATTACGGGTCGTATTAATTGTGCTGTGGTGGACAAAGATTGCATTAGACATTATGTGTACACGGTGTCACAGCATACCTAATATCAGTTTATCATATAAAAACACATTGAATGTATCGGAGTAAAAAAATGATACGATAAACGCGTGTCTACAAAAGCATATTTTTTAATCATATCCATCGGATGTATTCAAGTTGTACTATGTAACGTATATATTATTATAGTATGGTTGTAAACGAGATTGGACAAAACCGTCTGATAAGTCGAAGAGTATGTAAACGTTGTTTTGGACATTTCAATCGGAAAATCGCGTCGAGTTAAACGAATTATAGTACATGTATAGTTTTAAAATGAGTCGGGGGCCCTTGTTATTATGACCACGGTAAAAAAAGGCTAATTTTGTAGATAATACACACACCAACGGATCATCTGGTTGGTACGCGTTGACGAACCGGCGCAACTTGTCGTCGACCGTGAAATATGCAGTTTATTCGCGTGCAATGTGTATAGGTATATGCAGCCGGCGGCGTGGGACAGCTGCTCCTGCGGCCATTGTCGTCCTCGCAGGATATGTATGTCCTGCGCAGTGTAAAATATAATAAAGCCCGACGAAATCCGTACATAATATATAGGTACGCGCTTATACTTTGTACGTAGCACGTGAACCGTATAGGTCGGAGGGTGGTGGGGGAGGTCGCACGAGCCCATTGTGACCTGGCGGATATATACTATACGTATATTTGTCATCTATTGACGCAGCTCGACGTCCCGCGGCCTCTGCGGTGGAGTGCGGAAATTCGCAAAACAAATAAGCGCACAAAGGCTGGCTTGGAATAAATGTATATATATATTTTGGCAACATCTGGTGGGGGCAACCCGTTCCGGAATCGTTTGGGGGGGAGGGAGAAAAGAGAATTTCGCGTCGAATGGCCGTCCGAAATCCGGCGTGTAACTATATAATCATGTTATGTGTGTATAGATCTGCAGATGAGCTGCAGTTCCTCGCACGCATACGCGAACAATCGATTGACCTGTGTGCGTTTGATTTTGTGTGTTTCAGGGGCGGATTTCGCGTACCCGACCAAGTGATCGCGACGACCGTCACCAGAACCAGCAAAAACAGAATATCCAACGCCAGCAGCAGCAGCAGCAGCAGAATCGTCAACCGCACAGGTACCGGGAAAACCGTGACCGCGGTCCGACCAGCGAGAGCGACACAGTCATCGGCAGCGAATCGGCTGCGAACCCGACGACTCGTCCACCGTTGACGACCCTAGGACGGTCGCGCGTCGACGACCTGCATCGTCTTCACCGACACGACCATCTGTACCGCGACTGTCGGCTACATCAGCTTCAGCAGCACCACCACCGCTACCACACCGACGGCCACGATGACGGCGTGCCGCGACGTTTCAGTTGTCGGTGGCCACTAGCAGGCACACTACTCGGCGGACGAGCGGTACACCGCACCGGTGTGTAATTACGGTACATCGAGCACCACACATTTTCACAACCGCGGTCCAGTGTCAGCGGCCAGCAAAGTGGAGGGCAACTGCGGCGACCTGTTGAACATGAGTTCGTACTTTGCCAACTCGTACATGCCTTCCGACATGCGGAACGGCGGAGGTGGAGGCAGCGGCGGAGGTCTCGTTGGAGGCGGCAGCGGCGGGGGTGGCGTACTCGGCGGCGTCGGCGGAATCGGCGGCGGCGGCGGTGGCGGCGTGGTCATGGACCACCATCATCACGGCCAACAGCACTACGTGGACAACGCGCCGTGCGACCCGACCGCCCGGCAGGGCATACCGCCGCACCACTACGTCGGGCCCACAGTCGGAGGACAGCC